CTGATTCGGACAGACATTTGAGCAAACCTTCGGCGTTATCGGTGCCCATCGTTGACAGCGAATACGCCGGATATGACACCCGACCCAACTGTGCATTCAATATAATGGCAAATAATACATCAATTGTGAGCAAAACAAGTAAACTATGACATTAACCGGTGAGAGACCTGAGCGGATATATTGACATAATCGGGTTCGGGCTGAACACACATCTCGTTTAAGTGATTGTTTTGACGGACAACCAGTTCTGGTCGACAATCAAACTCATAGCTCTGTTCGGGATCAGAGCTCGGCTCATACGAGTCCTCATTGGCAGCAATCAAATTGTTTGTGTCTGAGGGCACGGTTAGCATGAGCTGACCCGTCAGCGGAGAGATGTCAAAGTCCACCGGAAGTATCGACGGGTGTCTTAACAACTGCTCTTTGAGCTCATCGATCGATTCCTACAACAAATTCAAACCATTAAATACTAGTCATAAATAAAGCGATGGATGTGTTATATACTTGTATAGCGATAATACTGGCAAACACTGGACATTGGAGGACAGTTAGCAGTGTCTTGAGGTCGTCCTTAAGGTTACTGCCATTGGATGAGTCCTTATGTTTCAAATTGTGATCAATTCTTTCCAATAGATTTTTGATTTGATTGATATCTAATGGCAAACAATAAATGACATTTCAATGGCCCGCAGATTAGAACCGCTATATTATTATCAATACCTTTAGTTATCGTCATAATTGGTAATCAAATCAAACAAAATATAAAATGCAATCAAATATAACGTGATTTAAGTCATGCATTCAATTGAGACAATCAGTGATTAACCACTTCTTTCACGTCCTGTCAAATGATAAACAATTTTTGAAAATCAAACAAAAAAATTAAACAATAAATGAATACATAATTGAGTATCAAATCAGTCAATCATTACAGAGAATAGTATAATATATTAATAAATAATAATAATTAAAAGTAAACTTTTTGTCAATAATAATAAGCAAAACAATAAACTTAATGATAGTTAAGATAAACAACAAAAACAAACAATTGATTCAATGATTAAAAGCTTAATATTTGACTCGCCTTTCGGTTCACTCATTGTTTTGATTGCAATTCACTAATGGATAACAAATATGTGTATACTTTGTAACAAATAACAAATAAAAGTGATGTTTAATTATATATATGTATAAAAACTAAAAATTATAATCAGTTATAAATGGATTAAAATTAAAAAACTAAATATAATAATAAGTGAATAAAAATGATGAGCAAAAAGGTATGAATGAAGTGAATGAGTGTTGAATGCTATGAATGCCTAACAATATAATAGTATTTGTCAATACATTCTTACAAACAGATGGCGACAACACTATTCAACTAACTCATCAATATTGCAATTTGCAACTTATTCCCACTAGAACAGGTATATTGGTACACAGGTACACTGTATTTGTACTTGCTGAGACAATTTAAATTAAGTTTAAATCATTATTATATAGACACTTTTAGAGACTTTTATCAAACAAGAAAAGTTTTCTTATTTTAATACATTTTATGGACAATTTTTTCTCAGTTTTTTAAAAATAAATAATCAATCATGATACATTTGATGGAATATTTGATGGAATATGTAGACATGGATTAGTGTTCTTGGAATCTGAAAACAGAATCAACTTATCTTGATTAGTTCGTTATTGGGCATAGGAACATATATTTTTAAACGGCACCTTAGCAGTCGCAATTCCATAAACCACAGTTTTGATTGTAAAATGAGCATGGTTATTTAGACATTGCATCAAATTAGAAGATAGTGTATAAATACAGACATATTTGTCAAATATATAATATTTATTGAAATGGTTTGGTTTGGCTTACATTTAAACAACATTTAATAATTGAATAAAATATAGTAATTGTAGTAAAAATGCATTTTAACATAAAATAATGACTTAACATATTTGTCAAATATATAATATTTATTGAAATGGTTTGGTTTGGCTTACATTTAAACAACATTTAATAATTGAATAAAATATAGTAATTGTAGTAAAAATGCATTTTAACATAAAATAATGACTTTTGAGTTTTAATTTACACACAATTTTAACTATAAATTGAATAGAAGTCCGACACAAATGGCACTAAATTTAATAATCAAACAAATTATAGAATTATTGATTCAATTCATTCCGTTATTTTATAAACAAATACTTTTAAAATAATCATAAAATAAATCAATTATATCACAGGAAATAT